ACCATAAATACAAGGATACACCTTAAATTGTACGTTGAAAAGTACCAAAAATTAAGTCAGCCCAGACAGAGCGGCGACAGGGAGCTGACCCCCGTGACCCCGACGTGATAAGGCGCCCGGCGGGGAACCCCCCGTGGCAACTAAAATTCCACTGCCGGTGCGCCGTGTGCAAACTGCATTTTTGCAGTTTCCAAGTTAAGGTATGAATACTGTATATTTCCAAAACCTATTTAAATGTATAGGGTATATTCAGAGACCTCTGACAATGTTTTAATTTAAGTCATTGTACTTTTTTTTGTTGGTTTACATCGTCAAATACTAACACTGCCTGCACGTTTATATTTCCATGATTTTATAGAATCACAAGATAGTGCGGAGATATATGCCTAGTGGACTGCCCACAAATCTACAAAAAATATCAGAAAGAGACAAATACAGTTTGTAGAACCTCTGAAGGGACAAAAGCTTTGAATATCTTACTTTCAGTGAAAAAATTGAAAGCAAAAGAGGCAGGGGTAGACCAAGATGATCGCAAGATGTTCGTTTCAGATTTAGCACTCCGTGATAATTGATAAGATAAAATTTAATTTTGCTTTTGCTTTAATTTTTGTGGAACACTACTATCCATGAGTACAATTCTAATATCAGTTGTTTCTTTTCAATTCTTTTGCAGACACAAAGCAGGTTCAGGAGACCCAGAGGGGTTCAAAAACTTCCTTCGAGGGAATGATCTCTCTTTTGGGACTTTCCCTCGATACGTAGGCAACCGCCTACACATCATGTTCCACCTTGCGGGGGTCATTGTGGAGTATAAAGAAAAGCTCTTGGAATTCCTGGAAACCAAGAGCACAGCAGGTGAGTTAAATACTGTTTGTCCATTCTTGTTCCTTTTCAAATGTCAGCACTTTTTCTTTGTTTGTAGTGATTACTGTGGTCATGTCTCTCACTATGGCTATTTATTTGCATAGATCTGTTGGTGTCCTACTCCTTGCCACAACAGGCTTTTATCTGTCCAAGTGTTTGCTTTGATTAATTACTTCAAAAACCTCAACACCCTTGTCAGATTTTTCCATCGTCCAAAGTCAGTCAATGTAGGAGGTCTTCCCTTATTTCTTTTTGTCTCTACTTTGTCTAGAAGCAAAGATGTCATCAGGTGTGTATACAGTGATATCTGACCAAAATAGGTTTGCAGAGGTGGGGGTTTTTTTCACATGAATATGCTAGCGGTACATAGTTTTGTACAGTGTTAACCCATGTCTATTAGGGCCAGAACTTAATGTAGTTTCCCAATTTGCTTTCCAGGACAAAGTCTTCGCTCTGCCGTACTAAACGATTTACGGCAAGAACAAATATTGATCCAGTTGTGGGGTCTCGGCATAATTGGGAAAACTGTCACCGGACCGTGGATGAGGGAGTTCTACACTTCTAATAGATCCAACCTCGAGATGGCAAGTTCATCATTTTTATTGCTTTCAATTTAAAAACAAATTTTTATTTGATTCAGTATTTTTATTTTTCCTCCGTCTCTTTTCAGGTGCTGTCTTTTAAAGAATTTTAAAATATAAATATTTGTAAAATATCAAAGCAATTTGTGATGTACATATTTTTCATTTCTTGAAATACTAGTGGGAACTGTACAACATAATAGTTTTATTGATTTTCTTTTTGTAGGTTCCCAAAATCAAACAGTGTGCCGAGACCCTGAAAGAATGGACCAGCCAGCCTTAACAACTGCTGCAGCCTCAGCAAGATGTCTTCTGTAACATTCTCAACGTCCAAAATGATATCACCCTCTCTGCCTTGTGCTGTTTTTCTTCCTCGCAGCCTGACTTTCAGGTTTCCGTCTTGAGAGAACTACTCTCCTCTGTTCAGAAGGTTGTCTTGCGACAACTGAACCGCTACCTTGACGGAGACCTGGGAGAAAGGAGACCCGAGGATGTGGAAGCAGGACAGTCGGCTCCTTCCCACAACATGGCTTCTGAACGGGCCCTGGCCTTGCTTGATGGTCTCTACCGCCGTGCCCCTAACGCTACCACTGGCTTTCTCAGCGGAAAAGTTAAGTCCCGACTCAACAACACCTTACAGTGGCTGGATGGGAAGAGTTCAGAGGAGAGGAAGGGACTTATTTCTTTCGCTGTGAAGGAGGGGTATCGCACTCGGAGTAGGGCTATCCTTGAAAAGGCCAGGGTCAGACAAGAGATTTCGGAGCGTCGTGAGGCCTTGGCTAAAGGCAGGGATAGGACCAAACGGAAGGCTCTGTCCCGGAAGATTGGAAAGACCTTGGATGGAAAGGAACCCATCAACAGCCTCGCGGTGTCCAATGAATTGAGGGACTTCGTCACCACTTTTCATCTGTCCAGGGAGTCCAGTCTTCTCAACGGCGCTCTCTGTTTCTCCAGACGTGGGAGGAGGAAGACGGCACCGATCTGTCCTACTACGGAAGGGTGGTTGAGGTCAAGAGGAAGACTTCGAAGTTCTTCTTTGTTGTGTCTTACTGGAAATTTTCAGAGGACGAGAGCAACAAAGAAGACTACGACATTCCTCAAGAAGACATCTTCGCTGACATGGTCCTTGGGGATCTGACCCTGTGTTAAAGAGTTAGATTCCCCTTACCACATATCCTGATCACTGGATGGAGGTACGAGCTACTTGTGGTGAGTGTCGGTTGTTGTTACTAATGTGGATGTTGTACAACAGGACACTGTTTTCTTTGATTTCATGTCGTGTAATTACTGTTAAAGGAAAATTTAATACCTTACCTAAACAATTTTTTTTTTTACCTAACATGGGCAGTGACAGTCCAGTTGGATTCGTCTTGTTCAGACGAGTAATTTAATGTAAATCTTGTCCAAATCCGTTGTGTCCTTCTGGTTTTATTGAATATTTTCATGTGATTACATAATGTTATGCAATCTACATAAATTGGTGCTTAAGACTACCGTTGCAAAGATATTTTAATAAAGAATGGTCATATACAACTGCCTCCTGTAGTATTTATATGTATTATTGAAACCAAGTGTGTTTTCTGCTCATACCAACTGTGTGACTAACCGATTATGTTACATAACTAACATGTTACACGTAATTATGTAACAATTTGTTGTTCACAACTGTCACATTATGTCAATTTTACAGAAACAATTTGTAAGAATTGTTTCTAATTGATAATTATGAAAAAACATGTATTATAATGCCTATTAAAAGGCCTCTCTACCATTTAGAAGAGGGAATTCAGTGGGTGGGGTCAAATTTCGATCACAGAACTCCAATGCAATTTACATACCCAAGATTCAGTCACAAAAAATGTCATAACTTTTGAACCAATCAAGATATTTTCAAAATTTAAAGTGCTTTGTGCTAGTTACAGCACCCTCTATCCGATGAGATGTATTTCTAGACTCTAAAACAAATTTCATTTTTTTATCAAACTGCCTACGTTGGGATGGTCGCTCTTTACGGAAGTCCTTCGGAATAAAGATTATCATTGTAAGGGCCTTGTCATTTACTACCAAGAGCGGCGTTGTGCGGAGACAACCATTCATCCCTTGGAGGAGCGCTTCAATCGCGGAATGTGTGCCCAACACGCGGCCTTGAGTGCCGTGGTGTACGCATTTTTATCATGCCTGATTAGATATGACTGAAAACGAGGATATTTAAAAGTAAAATTTACGTAGGATCGTTCTTCTCTCATTGAGTTTTTGAATGGTCTTATTTATAACTAATCTAAAATGATACTCATACTATACGTTCTTTCCATGACAGTTAGTGGTTTTTTTTGTCTGTTTGATTTGTTTCCATTCCCAGATCTCGTTGGCTGGATAGACAGCGTTGATGCTCCCCCAGACCCGCTGACTTTCAACAGAAATTGGGTGGCTCAAAATCGTCCTCTAATTATCAACAACGCCTTTGACCATTGGCCAGCCCTGAACAAATGGACAGACAAATACCTCAGGTACTGACGTTTGCTTTCTTCTGTGAAATTTCTTTTCTTTTTTTTCCATTTCAGCCTAAAAGATCTCAAATTACTTTTCTAAGGCATGTGAAAGTCCATATCATCAATGTGTATAAAATTGATGAAGGTGCTTTAAATTAAAGTAGCGAAGCCGATCACGATCGTCGCCGCATGTCATGAACGGGAGCTGGTGCACAGTGTTATTGCGCGGGGAGGTTAGGGACTGATTTACCAGGTGTGTCCTCTTTGAGCTTTGGTTTAGATAAAAAGGTAACGTTGTAGAGTCTTCAAACTTGGCAAACTACCAGAGAAGAGGTCAAACGAAATACACCTTATAATTCGTTCCTGTTATAGTTGACCTAAAAGTCGCTGTCTGCCGCTTCTTAAGAGAAGATTTTCTTATGCGCTCGTATGGTGGAGGAGATTTTGAGACCACACTTGACGTATCATATAAGTAAACCTTTATTTTCTTGTATAGCCAATATTTACAGAGGTTCATCAGCATCACTCTCTTCCTTTCTCTTGCTTTGATATCGTACAAGGAGTCTTACGATCCATACTGGGTACTTTTCATCGTGATCGCAGTATTTTATCTTCCAACTATTATATTGTCAAAGTCAATTACATCCCTTGGAATTTTTGCAATGTTTTTCGTTATCACGATATACTTGAATTACTGATTCATTGAATTTATTAATCCAACAGTCCCCAACGTGTTTGAGATACAGTGCAGCCTCTCTGTAACAACATCGTCGGTACTAGATAAAAATGTCTTTACAGAGAGGGAACGAAAAATGACTAACGATATATAAAGAAACAATTGGGACCTGGGCACCAAGTCACTATACAGATGATTTTGTTATATCGAAGGTCGTTATAGAGAAGATGTCGTTATATCGAAGGTCATTATAGAGAAGATGTCGTTATAGAGAGGCTGCACCGTGTCCATGTTCAAATATGCTTGATTCACAAGTGTGAATTTGCAACAGCGAGAAAACTCCTGGAGGGTAAGAAGAATGTAACCCTTTTTTTGTTATTACTCTCTTGCATTTCTTTTGTATATATATGCACAGTACAGTATAACACGGATAGCTTGAATTCGTCAGGACCGGCCTCGGTAGTTCGAGGGATCCATAGTTTGAGGGATATCTTACAAAGATAAAGAAGGAAAAAAACGGGGCTGCAGGCACAGTTCGGCGGATGCGTGATTTCGAGTAAACTGTCTTCAACCTATCTGTGTTTTATACTGTAATTGTTTCTAGAGTGTTTGTGGTCCTAGGTAATACAGTCAAACTTGTCCTGGACGTCCGGCCTGTGTCCATGAGGAAAGTGGTAGTCTTAGACAGGTGGGCGTCTTGGATCGTTTCTTTGTGACCAAGTAAAACTGCCAGGTGGGAAGTGGTCACTTGCACAGGTGTTTGTCTTGGACCTGTGGCTGTTTTAACGGGTTTGGCTGTATGTCTTTTGTTGAGGTTCTTGTTTCTTCTTTTCAAGTTTTCACCTATATTTCTATAAACTGTCTTAATTTTATTATTGTCTTTGCTACGTGAGTGAACCAAAGGTCGTCCTAGTACAACAAGCCTGTGTCCCACAAAAACAAATGTTGCAGGAGAAGGAAAAACATTTGTCAATTCATCTAACAAAGTTGAAAATAAAAGTGGGAATGTTGAACTGGCGATGTTTGTTGAGTAACATGTGTAAATATTTGACACAAAATCCACAACGTTACATTTAGGAGAAAAAAGCCCCCCAAAAAGTGTTTATGACCTAGTGTGAGATACAGGGTTGTTGTACTCAGGCGACATTTGATTGAAGTTAAATTCTTTTTTATTTTTCCAGGGACAAGATTGGAGAGGTGCCAGTGACGGTTGCCGTGACCCCAAATGGTTACGCTGACGCAATCAACGGAAACAGATTTGTGATGCCCGAGGAAAGGAAAATGTCCTTGAGTGGTTTCCTTGACATCCTTTCTAGTCCTGACAAAGACAGGACCAACGGTGTTTTTTATATCCAAAAGCAAAACTCAAATCTTGAGGATGAGTTTTCAAGTATCATGGAAGATGTGCATCCTTTCAGCTGGGCTGAAGAAGTTTTTGGTGAGAGACTTTCCAAAACCTTTCGTTCTGAACTGTTGTTGTGGAGAAAATGTTCAAGAACTTTATTTAAACACTGTAGCTGAAAGCAAATTTAAATGCATTTTTTTCGCCAGTCTTATCAGGTGGATATTTGTTTTCCTGTATTTTTTTCTTGATTACAAAACTTAAAAACTGTTGTAAATATTTTCCTTATCTGTGACACAGTTATGTCTCAGCAAGCTTGCCAACTGTCTTGAGATTCCCCGACACTGTTCCAGACTGACGACCTGCTCCACTTGACGGGGTTGGTTTCACTGCTGCGTGATCTGATGCTTTAGTGATGAGAGTGAGAGTCCCTGACTGGGGATTGAGAAAGTTGGCAGGCCGGGAATTAGACTAATATGAACTCAGAAACTTTTTGTTATGATATGTACTCTTTCACCTACAACATCGCAATAGTATCATTATTTGAATTATTTGATAAAGTTAAATGGCAAATGTTTGAAGTCCATGTAAGCTGAGAGACGTCAGAAGTTTTCTTGCTTTTTCTGTAGTGTTCCACTTCATTGCCTGGTGGTATAATGTGGAGGGGGTGGGGGGTGGGGCGGGGGGGGGGGGAGGTTGATGGCCAAGTTCACATTCTATAAAGTGGCCACAGCTTGTCTAGTATTTAACTCTTTGTCATCACTTTGCTCAGTAAAAACCCTTGCCATCAAAGGCGAGACGAGATGTGATGACAAAGTGTTAAAGAGTCTTACGTGTGTCTCATTGCCTCCGCAGGGAAAGGTCCCGATGCCACAAATTTCTGGATGGGGGACGAAAGAGCTGTCACATCCAGTATGTCTTTTGTTTATGTCGTCGTTCCTTGTGGGAACGCCAGTCTTGCTTCTGTGACTTTAAAAAATAAAGTTATCTTAAATATGTGTCCCTGCCGGTCAATATCAGTCATATGAAGGAAATTTTAAAACTGAGTTACCATTATTTTCAAAAACTATCACCTTTTCCCCACAATTTAAAACAAGAATGAAGTAAATAGGACATTATTTGATGAAAATACAGAACTTTTCATTGTGCGAGGTGAGGAAACATGAAAATGAGAAAACGGTCTCCAAAGTTGAGCAACATGTTTCCATAGCAATGTGGGTCTTAGAATTGAGATAGAGACTTGAAATTTATAGTCGATTATAGTCTTTTATTTTTATCGTAAATGAAGCAGAAGACAACAAACTTTGAATTGATCCAAAAAACTAAAATGTCATGGAAAGTCACTTTTTTGCTTTTCGAACCTCGTAGCTGATAATAGCACACTGCGTCTTACGACTGATATTGACCGGGGGAGACAGATATACGGAGCTCAGACTTTGATCAAACTTTTATTTGTCCGTAACAAACATGAACCGTTTGTTTTTGTGGTAGAAAACTCTTACTTGTCGTAACTCATATACACCGTTTGCTTTTGTGGTAGTCTCTGGGCAAGCAGATTTCTTGTTTTGTTGTCGTCTGATTGCTATAGTATTTATTCATTGCCTACTTCGTAACAGAAGAAGGTGTCAGTTTTTAAGTTGTTGTTTTTTTATAGTTTATGTCTGGAGTTACTAACTTGTTTGGTATTCACTGCGTAATAAAATCTAACAAGAATTTGTCAAGTTGTTGTTTTTGTTATGGTCAAAACCTGGCATGAATTCATTGAAATTTAAATGAGTTGAAATCGACTGATGAATGTCAGACTTCATCAAACTGGTGGATGGTGGGATCTCACACGAAGCAGTCAGTGTTAGTATTTACTGTCTATTGCTTCAATAAGTAGTTGTGTTAGTATTTACTGTCTACTGCTTCCACAAGTAGTTGTGTTGTTGGACTGGACCTCTGGACCGCCAAGTTTGTTTCGTTTTCTCTCCCCCTCAGTGCACAAAGACCCCTATGAGAACCTGTACTGTGTGGTGTCCGGACACAAAGACTTCCTCCTTCTGCCGCCCACCGACCTGCCCTACTTGCCCTACGGTCAGTGTTTTTGACTTACAGGGGAGTCCGCTTGAACTGAACATGTTTAACTCTTTAAACCCCATCAGCAGTGTCTGGCGATAATAACCCTGTTCCCCATCAGATGCTGGGAGCGTCCAATACTAGTGACAACTGTTTCGTTTCATTTAGTGCTAGTTTTTCCCTTTTTTTTTCAGAACTATTCGAGAACCAAGTTTTTTAGTAATGACTAAGCCTTAGTTTCCGCCATTTAGAAGTTGGAGGCAAGCTTTTGGGGTTGTAATGAGACATCGTGTGCCAGGTTTTGGTGACTGTAGAGAAAAACTCCGGGAAACGGTGGGAAAAACTCAGGGTTTAAAGAGTTAATCCGAACATTTGGTAAATCAAACGAAAATGAAATCACTTGTTTTATTTAACTTTTATTTGAGTAACATCTCTCTGAACCAAAACCCGGCTACACCGGAGAAACTCTGGGGGTGCTGCAGGTTTTGGTTGAAGAATTTGATTAGGAAGGCCATTAAGGCTTATAGTAATCCGTTTGCCCACAAAAATCGGACTCCTCAATGCCGTTTGATTCGTACTAGCCTTCTGATTAGCTATTGGAAACTATATTTCATCAGAAACACTTGATAGTGACCTTGAAAATGAAAGCTGCTGGATTATGGAAGACCAGATCAACTTATGCTATGGTGGTAACATTGGCCCCATTATGAAAGAAGAATCTGACTGTTCTCAACTGGACCACGGCTCTGGACCACGGCTGGTCCAATAGGAATTGGAGGAAATGTTCTGCCGCAGGCACTGGCCATAAGGCTGCACAATGCTATACGGTCCATTTCTGTGGGTGGTTAGGGAGGAACAATAATAGATAGCATTTGCATAGCTCAAATTCCCCCTCATCAGCATGCTCTATTCGCTTTACAATCTACATTAGAGTCTATATTGTAGTCAAGACTGGTCTCTTTATTCTGCTTCTTTTCTTAGCAACCGTTTTAAAAAATACAGTTGTGGGTGGTTGGTGGGTGCTCTGGTGTGGTTTGTTTCTTCTTTCCTATCAAACATCTATCCTCTTTATCTCCCTGCCTTCTTTTTTGTGTATGTTACTCTCTTGTGACACCTCTAGTCTTCGGCACTTATATGACCTTATTGTGCTGCAAGTGCCCTAATACTCTTACGAAAACAACAACAAAAAAATACAGTCAAACTTGACCAAGACAACGCCTTTCCCATCTGTTAATTTTCTTCTTTTTTTTTTTCTTTCTTTCAGAAAAGTACCCAGCTGCCTCCTACAAAGAAAATGAGGATGGAAAATTTGAAATTATTGATGAAGTGGACAGCCCTGAGGTATTTGTCACAGCGTGGTTTTTGTAGACAAAAGAAATGTTGAGATCAAGTATTTTAGAACCAAGAATTTTTTCAGGTTCTGAGAAGTCTGCCATCTTTGACAGGAAGCTCATTCGTATAAGTTTGAGTGGAGTGAGGTGTAAGTCTTTAGTTAGAAATTGTTTGTACGATTTGAAGTTTTTCTGGTGAATGATTCTTTTGGGGTTTGTTATTCTTTTTTTTTGGTCAAGTTTGAGTCGATGAATGTGCTGATGTGCTTATCTCTGGATCAGGAACGTTGGCCTCTGCTTTGGGTTTGCTCCTGTTTTTCTATCAAACATCTATCATCCTTATCTCTCCTCCTTCTTTCCTATCAAACATCTATCGTCCTTATCTCTCTTCCTTCTTTCCTATCAAACATCTATCATCCTTATCTCTCTTCCTTCTTTCCTAGCAAACATCTATCATCCTTATCTCTCTTCCTTCTTTCCTAGCAAACATCTATCATCCTTATCTCTCTTTCTTCTTTCCTATCAAACATCTATCCTCCTTATCTCTCCTCCTTCTTTCCTATCAAACATCTATCCTCCTTATCTCTCCTCCTTCTTTCCTATCAAACATCTATCATCCTTATCTCTCTTCCTTCTTTCCTATCAAACATCTATCATCCTTATCTCTCCTCCTTCTTTCCTATCAAACATCTATCATCTTTATCTCTCCTCCTTCTTTTCCTTCTACTACACTCTAGTAACACCACTAATCTCCGGCACTTCTATGACCTCATTGTGGAGTAAATGCCCTGAACGTTTTTCTGAAGCTGAACTGACACTACAGCTGTCCACTTGCAGGTACCCTGGATCAACATCGACCCTCTGAACCCTGACCTTGAGAAGTATCCCAACTACGCCAAAGCTCAGCCCATGACGTGCAGGGTCAAGGCCGGACAGATGCTCTACCTGCCGTCTCTCTGGTTTCACCACGTGCGGCAGTCGCATGGATGTATCGCTGGTAGGTGACAAGAGAACAGTCTAGTGTGGGTGTATCGCAGGTAGGGGACGAGAGAACAGTCTAGTGTGGGTGTATCGCAGGTAGGTGACGAGAGAACAGTCTAGTGTGGGTGTATCGCAGGTAGGTGACGAGAGAACAGTCTAGTGTGGGTGTATCGCAGGTAGGTGACGAGAGAACAGTCTAGTGTGGGTGTATCGCAGGTAGGTGACGAGAGAACACAGTCCACCACGTGCGGCAGTCGCATGGATGTATCGCTGGTAGGTGACAAGAGAACAGTCTAGTGTGGGTGTATCGCAGGTAGGTGACAAGAGAACAGTCTAGTGTGGGTGTATCGCAGGTAGGTGACGAGAGAACAGTCTAGTGTGGGTGTATCGCTGGTAGGTGACGAGAGAATACAGTCTAGTACATACGTCAGTCACATGGGTGTGTGGCCGGTAGGTGACGAGAGAACACAGTCTAGTACATACGTCAGTCGCATGGGTGTGTGGCTGGTAGGTGACGAGAGAATACAGTCTAGTACACATGGGTGTGTGGCTGGTAGGTGACGAGAGAACACAGTCTAGTACATACGTCAGTCGCATGGGTGTGTGGCTGGTAGGTGACGAGAGAATACAGTCTAGTACACATGGGTGTATGGCAGGTAGGTGACGAGAGAACACAGTCTAGTACACATGGGTGTATGGCAGGTAAGTGACGAGAGAACACAGTCTAGTACACATGGGTGTATGGCAGGTAGGTGACGAGAGAACACAGTCTAGTACACATGGGTGTATGGCAGGTAGGTGACGAGAGAATACAGTCTAGTACACATGGGTGTATGGCAGGTAGGTGACGAGAGAACACAGTCTAGTACACACGAAGCGATATCTGTTGTTTCTGTTTTTCTTTCTCTCTTTTGTTTCTGCTCGTCTTTCCCAGCTCTAAAAGACTATTATTGTGGTGACGTTCTTCTCTTTACTCAAACAATTAAACATTTCTCCTTTCTCTTCTCAGTGAACTTTTGGTATGACATGGTGTTTGACTTCAAGTGGGCGTACTTCAGATTTCTGGAACAACTTGTGTCCAAAGATTCCCCGTAAGACGAAACGGATCCATTTGAATCTGTGGATTGACTGACTGCTCCGTTCCGACCAGTGGGGTTGTTGCTTGTGTATATAACTGTTGTCCTTACGTCTTTGGTACAAATAAATGTCGGACGTAGGAGGTCGAAAAATTGGAATTGTAGGTCATATTTTACTCCTCCATCAACTCCTTTTTGGTGATTTAGGAGTCAGGCTGCCTTGAGCTGGCTGTCGGGGCTGACCTAGGCTGAGAGGGAAGGATGTGAGATAGAGATACCGTGGTTTGAGCTGCTCTTTCGGTTAGGTTATCTCATTTTTTTTATATATTGCCAGATATTTTCACCCCTCCTTAAATGAGCTTTATTTAGTTCCACTTCTAACGTTCTACTTTCTGAAAATGTTTCCCACCTTTACTTGTGACACTTCGGTGGTTAAAAGTACAGAATATAATTTTATGCAGTTTTACAATTTTGTAGGAGAGCCAAAGAACTGCATGTTGTTACCAATAAAACAACATTTGTTGTAAAGTTTTTGTAGACTTTGGGTGTGTGCGAAGTGTTTGTTTACTTGGGAACAACATTTAGTTTTTTGGCTCTCCCGTCAAATTATCAAAACTGCACGTACATGTACTGTACTTTTTCCAAATGTCGACACGTCTATGCCATTGTGGTGATGTACGGTGGAGTTGGCTTAAACCAAAGTCTGCGGGGCGGTGGGGATTCCTTTGGTTTGTTCGCGTTTCCCATAGAGAGGTTACTCAAACTGAAGACAAAAATCGGGGAATTATTTTCCTTAAGTGAGACTCCTCTGTATGATTTACTGACTACTGGCGTGAAAGTGAAAGACGCTTTGTGTGTAAATAAAGGATGGTGCCGTTTTGATCTGTTGAGAATGATAGCAAGAACATTGTGATATAATTAAGATGATTTTTCATATCTTGTCTACTTCCTTGCCTTTTGTGACTAGTCCTGCTGTTATGTTTGACAATAAATGTCGCAGATTCTCTCAGTTGTCTTTGTGGCTGATGGTGTCTCATGCTGTGAACGCTTTCCTTATTACACTGAAATGGTGGGTGGTTGGCGGGTGCTCTGGTGTGGCTTG